CCCTTGTCTGTCCCCGAAAGAAAAAAAAAGAGAGAAAAGCAAAGGAAAGAGGGGAAACAGAAAAAGAATGAACGAACTCTAAGGTTTTTATAAAACTCATCTAAAACCAAACTCATCGAATTCATTAAACTATTCATATACCCATTCCCACCTTCGATTTCATTCTCTTGATTCTTGAAGATTAGATCAGATTGAAACTTTTCAAAATCTTCCATCCATTCTAATGCGAATTGATGTGATTGAACATCTGTTTTATTAAACACTAAGATGAAGGGTAATCTAGTTTTATACAAGATCCTAAACCCATCATTCATAACAGATCAATCGAATTTAATTCTTGATTTCTTGATTTCTTGATGGGTGAAAGAAGAAGAGAAGACTAACGAGCAAGCGTATAACATATTACTCATAAAAGTTGCAGGTGCAGTCGTTCTAGGTGTATCGATGACATAAGCAACGACTGTAGGTATCGAAGAAGCAATCGCATCGGTAATGATCGCACCAGAAGCAGACCAAGTAAAGATTTCGATTTGACCAGGTGTATCCACAAGAATATGACTAAAAAACACACACACCAAATCCAATGAGAATAGATGATGGTTAGATTTGATTCAAAAAAAGGATGATAGACGAGAGAAAGTAAAGGGATTTGTCACTTCACTCTAATGAATCGACTCTTTTTTCAACATAATTTAAAACTTGATCAAATTTGGTGGTGAAAAGGTTTAAGGCTGTTAAAATCCCTCCATTTGGACCTAATCGATACCTGGAAAAAAAAAGAAAGATTAAGAAACTTGAATGGATTTGAATGGATTTGAGGATGAGAAAGAAGAAGATTGAAAGATTGACTGTTTCATCACTTCTTTATAATCTACTGTATCTCTTATATCAATATTAGCTTGAAAAGGTAATTTAATCACAGCTGGATCTAAATTTATTATATATGGAGGTTTCTTAATCGAATGTAAATATGAATTTAATCTCTAATAAAAAAAATAATAATCAAAAAGTATGTTTTTTGGTTGTGGGGTTTTTTTTGGGGGGGTTAAAAAATCAAATGAATCAATTTGATCAGTTTTTCTGTTTTTATAAAAATTGATGAATTTGATGAATTGAGAAAAAGGGAAAAAGGGAAAAAGAAAAGACACTTTGACTGACTAACTTGAACAAATGTGGTTTTTCCACTTCCAGCCATTCCAATACAAATCACACATACTGATTTTTTGGAAGGATTTGATTCTTTTTGATCTGTTTCGATTGGATTTGATGAAGTTGATACTTTTGAAGTCGTCATTTTGTTGATTTTGTTGTTTTTGATTTCTTAAGAATCGAATTTTTTGATTTGGTGGGTTTTGAAACTTTTTAGTTGAGTTGAATTCAACTTTCACTGGTTCCGTCAACCCGAGTCCCGACAAACTTAACTAAGTCCCATTGTGTCGGGGTTTATACATAGCAAGCAATGACCGAGGCACAAGACACTTAGTCCTTGCCCTCAACTTTGGGCGTGGTTCCTTGAGTTTCAGTAGGGGAAATTTGGGATCCCCTTTTACCCCAACTTCCCATGATTGACTGCGCAGAAAAAAATGGGTATGAAGAAGGGCCTGATTCTTACACATCTTTCTCTCTATTTACTTTTTTGATTGCATTTGTTGTTCTTTTCTTTTCTCAAGACTGAAAGCTTGGTGTCTCTGAAATTGAAGGAAAGACTGAGGATGGTGGATGTATATATAATACGTATATACTAGGAAAACTAACAAATGGACTTACCTCTTGTAAGATAAACAAAGACCATCTTTCCTTTCCACTGATTTGGTCTTTACAGATCAAAGCCTTGAACCCACCCAAAACTTCCTTTGTGGAAATCCAGCCCTTTTCCGTTCCCCAAGATCCACATCTCCTTGCTACTATTGAGTCTGTACTTGTCAACATGCCTTGGATAAAGCTCTTGGAATCCAATCCAGCTGAGTTGAAGTTCTCTGCCAATTTCCTCCAGTTGTTCTGGTAATGGAGGAAAGATTTTTGAACAAGTTTTACTGAAATCAAACATCTTGAAGGTTTTTTTTATGAACTTACTTGAACACCAGACAGAACATAGTCTAGAGTCCTGACGGGTGGTTTGTTTCAAGTTCTCCCTCTCACACTTAATTTGCATTCATTCTTTCTCAATCTCTCCAATCTCTCTAGTTCTCACCCTCTCTACACTGATTTGTCATTTTGAAAGATGTTTTGAGATTTGGTTTTCATGTATGCCTTGTGTAACATTCTTGCAGCATGTTCAAATTTACAGATTGCAGGGACACCAAGTTTTCAGTGTTGAGAAAGAAAAAGAACAACAAATGCAATCCAAAAAGTAAATCAAGAATGTGTAAGAATCAGGCACTCCTTCATACCCATTTTTTTCTGTACAGTCAATCATGGGAAGTTGGGGTAAAAGGAGATCCCAAAATTCCCCTACTAAAAATCTCAACAAACCATGCCAAAAGTTGAGGGCAAGGAGTAAGTCCCTTGTGCCTTGGTCATTGCTTGGGATGACTTGGTTATTTTTGGGGTCCCAATAGATACTTCACCCCGGATACACATGACATTACCCAGTACTGATATAAGCTCTAGCAAGGGTGGCACGGCTGAGCTAAGTTAGCACTTAGTGGTGCAGTCAGCTTAGCAATCTTTTGTTGCTAAGCTAGCGCTAAATCCTTAGCACTCATCAGCTAAGCTAATTGGAGGTCAATTTACCCTTTGGTGGGTCTGCGCTAAGCTAAGACCGCAGCTTAGCTATTGAAAAAAAAACTGTGTTTCAAGTGCAAAAAAGCCTTACTAAACCACTATTAGTGGTTAATTGGCTTAGAGCATCCACTATCGTTGCTGTAAACGGCCTTGGTATTGTAAATTTTGCAGTATCAAAGGCCAACAACCCAAATTGTGGCCATTTCGACCATTGGTATCTATCAATTTAGTAAAAATTTGGCAGAGGTCCTGCAAATTTGCAGGACCTTTGCCAAATTGGTATCTACCGATTTTGCTTGGGCTACCAAGCAAACGGTACACCACAAGGCACAATTGTGGGACAAAGTCTATTCTGTACAGTACGTACCATACAGAAGATGATTTACCTTGACGATAGTGGAATTTGATGGTTTGGTACGTACCACCACTGTACTTTACAGACCGTTACAGTAAATTTGCTGAAAATTTACTGTAACAATAGTGGATGCTCTTAGCAGGTGTCATTTTATGCACGCTAAGCTAATGCCTTGGTGTTAGCGGAAATACTCTAACATTAGCATTAGCAGATTGTTTCTTAGTGGCTTCTAGCCAAGCTAAGCCAGGGTGGAAAAAACCTTAGCTTAGCTTAGCAAGCCACTGTTGGCTCTACCCTCTGCCCAGAGTCAGACTCAAAGTGACCAAAGATATCACAATAAAGTAATTGAGCTTGACCAGATTCACAATCATTGTGCCATCAGATCTTTGTCTGTCTCAAGCAAATCTAATCAACTTGATAGTTTGATCTTTGACTGAGATATTTTTTTTGTGATTTGACTTACCCTTAACATGACCTTAGATTGATGATCAAGTTTAATGATGAAATACTATTCAACAAGTCTTCTAAAAAACATCCGATTTAATTTCAGAAAATAAACATCATACTTGAATCTTTTCAATTCAGCTCATTAGTTGATAAAGATCACATCTCTCCAAAACCACAATGATGAATATACAACTATAAAAAAACTTGATCAAATAGATCACATCAAGTTAAGCTGATCTTACATTCAATCATAATAAACTTAGAGGATTAGTAGATACATGGACCCACCCTGGAAATTGCATGGGCCTGTGTATTGTCCTTTGGCTGTGTCATTAGTAACAACACAGATCATTATCTTGTTTTTTCTTTCTCAACATAGAAGCAGCCAATCAATCATTTCAAAGATTTTGGCAATAATCCCACTAGAGTTTGACTTTGTGCTACAATAAGCACAACACCACAAAAGATGCTTCTGATTTTTTATTGATTTGAATACATACAAGAACAAAAAAACAAAGAAATACAGCTCTGTGCAGATACCCACTGCTAGATGATAGACAGACATAAACAATGTCAAAATCTTTGAATCATATTGTCTTTCTTGGACATTGAAGAAACAATCTATATTAGGTGAGTTTTTTGATCAAAGAATTGTTATGTTGAAAATCAATAAACTCATAAAGGTTCAAAGAGGGGAGTTTGATCATCAAGTGTTCAAGAAACACTCCTTTAAGATATGCTTATACTGTGTGAAACTCTATGCAATTTCCAGGCTGGGTCCCTGTATCTACTACAGCCATTGTGAAATTTAATGGCAGTTTTTTGACAAATTGTGTTATTGCCGTATTTTTCTTTGAAGTCAAAACCCCAAAGGAAATTACATCTTTCAGAGTGAACTTTAATCTATCCATTTGGGAATAGACACAAAAAGTTCTTCATTCTCTCTTCATAAACTTTTTGTCCCTTGCTTCACTTCCAGCTATTTGTGTTTCAAAGCAAAAATAACTAGAAATAGCCATCCCCAACGAGTTATGGCAAGAATTGCTCATGATATGTCATATTTCCCCTTTTCTCAATCAATAAAGCCTTAATTTATACCATCACCATCTGATTTTTCACCTTTGGTGATTGAACCTCCTCACCAAAGGGTGTATAAAGAGACAGGAAATGAATAGCTTACCTGTCAAATCTCAAAATACAGTACAATAAAGTTCAAACCGAAGAAGATATCTTTTTGACTTTTTGACTTCAAAGCAAAATCCAATGACAATACATCATGATAGAAAATTGCCATTAGATTTTACATTGGCTGTCATTCTCTAACCCTATCATCAACTAAATTAAATAATCATTCCTCCATGAAGAACTCACTCAACCTACTCCATACACTCAATCACTTCACCTTTGCATACTTTCAAAAACAATTGATACTCATATAGACCCATTTGTTGTGCGGATTCACAGCAAAAGGAATCGTTCCTAGACAGGCTTGAACTGTCAACCTCCTGATTGCAACCCATGAATGGGTTTTAACAGTCAGACGCGCTAGCCAATTGCGCCATAGAAACTGTGCTGTGCATCCCGGTTTTGGCTCCCAGACATAATCGAGGCCATTCTACTCCATCTTGCGATGTTAAGTAATGAGATACGAGAATCCAGAGGAAAGAAACGACCCAAATCCAAACAACCGGTTGATTATGTTATATCTGGACAGATGAAAGATTATCAAGAAAAACTAAGAAATCCAGATAACCGGGCTATGATCTATGATACGCTCATAACAACTCACAAATAGACTTAAGATTATTTCCACCAAAGAATTAATGACTACATTGAAAGAGGTATAATGTAAAAGAAAAAGGAATTGAGATGATTATCTAGAAAGATACGAAGAATACAAATTGATAAAGGAAAAAGGTTTTGAAAAATACGGATTTGGTTTTTTAAAGCTTACATCTCAAGCCTAGCCTTGATATCCGAAGTCTGTCTGGGAAAACCAATGATACAATTCAACCAGACCAACCAAGCAAGAGATCCGACTGCTGATCATGTCGGCGAGTAGGTTCCACTAGTAGCTTGCTGTCTTGTTTCTACCGGTAAAAACATCATACAAACACATGAAATCAAAAACATACACACACTTAAATACATGGGTAAATAAATCGATGTGATAATCATGATCCCAGTAATCATGGGGGCTAGGATTCCGGCTAGTCGACTAAGTGCTGATGCAATTCCGCACGCTGTGCCTCGAATCATTGGCGGCGCAAAAACTTCAGGCGTATAACCTTAAAGGGGATTATCAAGATCGAGATGCACGAGAGTCAGGCATAAGAGACAAAAAGGAGTGGTCACGGTACTTTGTCTGGTCGTTTCTACCCCTGCACCCACAAAAAAGAACAGCACAAAGCACTCACCATAGATCACCGCGTCTATAGCAAAATGTAAAGATATTAACGATCCGAACTTTATTCAACAAAGTATGAGTGGCTTACACATCAATGTAGCTGCCAGTGAAATCGCCATCGAACTCAAAATCACACCCTGTTCGGTCCGTACGGTGATGAAGAAGAGTGTACCGATGGCCGTAAGGAATGTCGAGAAGACCATTGAATATTTCCGTCCTAATCTTGTTTCAATTAGCCAAGCGCCTAGAATACTACCTGGACAACTGCAACCCATTCCCGATCAGAAGTGATTATAAGGGGTTTTCAGTTTAGACTGATCAGTCCTAACCCTGCCACTGTGTACAAAACGTAGTCCCTCAACGTTTTCTCAAGTCCATCGCCACCCATTCCAATCCTTTTTTCGAGATACTTTGGTAAGAACACATTGAAACACGTACTGTGATCCGAGAGTATGAAAGCGAGTGATAATCAGCGAAAATGCAAGTATGAGAAAGCATCAAGACAGGTTACTACTGACTATCCAAATGCCACCGTCATCCATATCGTCCATACTAAAATCGTGGTAAGCCTCCACTGTGGCGTAAAAAGATACTCTATCCTTCCAGTGAAATCATCCAAGTTCGACTTCATCGCATCCCATACGGAATTATCAGACATATTCACTGGTTCAGCCAATGTGGTATAGCCGGCTCTCCGCTGCCGCTGTGATTGCATCACATCATTATAATCTTCTTGATCATCTTCGACGTCAGCAGGTGAAAGCTGTAGCGAATCTCCATTATGTTGTGAAATGTTTTCAAGAACAATGATGGCGTCTGCTGTGCGACCGGTAGCCATAAGGTATTTCGGAGACTCCTGTAACCTGAATAACATCACTCGACACCCGAAGAGTATGAAGGTCTGAAATCGGTATGATCAGAGATGGTGAAAAGTCGTCAACAGCGGATTCGATAGGTGTCAATTCATGGAGCCAATATACCCACAATCACACCAAGGGCGATCAACAGGCGACGCCAACCACGATTCTCGAGCTCAGGGTTACATAAAAGGGTCTCGTTGGGTGCAGGCTCATGACAGCTCTGTCCAGGCAAGAAGACGAGCCCGAGTACTGAAGCAATCACAGCTCCGATTGAAAAACTGAAAAACCAGAAAAGATCACTCGTAACATTTTCAGCTTCTTCAACATTCACGACTTTCGCGTGAGACTTACGAAAAACTAACAAAAATGAAAGAGCTGTCAAAAGGTAATGTCGCGTTTTTGGAATATTTTCCAGAAAAAGCATTCCATCCGTCGGCATTGAGCCACCCACCCCAGTTCCAAGGCAAAATAGTAAAAAACAAAGAACTTCAAATGAGGGTGAAAATCCGCTCAAGAGTCCAAAGACAGAAGTCATGAGGAGAGTAACGTTGAAGGGATGCCTTCGGCCATATGAATCCGAGACTGTGTATCATTAAATTGAGTTTTCATTCGTAGATCAGAAGTCTGGAGATCCTCACTTGAACAGCACATATGTTCAAGACAGAGATTCGAGTCTTACTCACAGTTTCCCCAGGTCCAAGCTCCAACCATCATACCGGTAAATATTGAGGTGGAGAGCAAACCGATCCATCGATCACTGACTCGAAAATGAACTGTATTGAGAAATCAGAAGCTGATCTCTACTACAGCGCTTTCTGGTTTGATGAAAATTTGCAAGAAATGTCATCTTTCACATTCACCCACTTTGAACCCGAGGCAAAATTACAGCTACTGATTGTAACCACATCTGTCATACACATATAGGTGGAACCATGTGATATAGATGAAGATGAATACATGATCAGCGATGTAACTTGGTTCTATATCTCTTCTCACATGTAGGGTACGATTGGGTGTGATCTGAGATGCTTACATTGTCGCACATCCAGCCAACTGGGAAAATTCCATCAAGACATGAATGGAATTAGATGAGTCCAGATGCTTTCAAATCCCAATCTGACAAATGTAATCTCAGGCCATTGAACTTACAACCACAGAGTACCCTGTTGATTTCATCATTGTCGCACGCAAACGAAAAGATTTCAGATTTCAGATGCGCTCTCATCAGTACAAAGGAAAAGCACCAACAGCAGTTTCCATTGATACAAGCCCATGCCAACCTTTTCGAGGGTTTGATCAAGTGGACTCATCTTGTGAGGAATAGTGGTTGTATTCTGATGGGGCAACAGAGGAGTTGACTCGCGGGGTGTGGAGTGTGAAGCAGGCTTAAGCTCTTCCTGCTTCGGTTGATGATCGAAGGAAGCAGAGAATGATGATCTGGCTAGTGTGGATGAAGGGAGAGGTGGTGATGAATTCCTATGAAGAGTCATTGCGAAAAGAGATTGTAAGTTGAATTGTAGGATGATTGGGTGAAGATCAAGATTCGGATAGGTGTGATGAATGATGATGATTGAGAATGTTGAGATTTAGGATGATGATGAAGAGAAACTAAAATGAAAAACTGAATAAAACTTGAAACGAAAACCTTGGAAAGGGTAAGTCAAGTGGAGTGATAAATTCACTGACTTTGAATTTATTTGTTGTAAAACGGTCAAGAGCGAAAAGATTTAAAAACCATATTAGGAGATTTGATCAGGTCACAAGATAACACACAACGATCGATCTGCAAACCTTTGGTGTAGAGTTCCGGCCGCAAGATGGAGACGAGCTGTCAGTGTCACCGTGGGTGTAGTAAATGCGGCGTTTTGCGCTAGATAGGGTTGACTTGGGTTGACTTGTGATGGTTTCCCTCTAGAGAGAAAAAAGAAAACCGATAAGTGACGTATCGATGAGGTGATCCAAGACTCACGAGTCACAGTCAAGAAAGTTTACAAACCGAGTACCTATACAGATGATAAGGTCAGAAAGTTGATCGTAAGCGGCGATAAGAGTATGTAAGATCACATCGATCGACTTTCCTGAAGCTCGTCCAAGTGAATTTCAATTCCTCTTCCTGTGTGTCAACAATCACTCAGTGATCACACTGAATTACCTTGGTTGTCCCAATGAAGCTGTTTCAGGTTGAAGATACTGATAGAAATTGATATGTATCTACTTTCATCAGTTCTAGCCTGTTCCAGTTGCATACAATTCCATGACCTCATCTTCTTCCACCCCTTGTTTTGTCAAGCAATGGGCATAAAGAATGTCAGGTCATAACCTTTGTACTTTTGTGTTCAAAGGTGGGTGAACAAATCTGAATGTGCACTACTTTCTTGTTGTTGACAACTTGTTTAGATAGTGCAATGTGCAATAAGCAACTTTACATTTGAATAGAGAAAATCTTTTGGAGCATTTTGGAGTTTTATTATTGGGATTAAATACTCAAGTTATTACCTTAGATACTTGATTTAAGTGCTTAATTACTTGATCTCAAAAGGTAGCCTGACATTAGGCTCCGAGGTCTAAAGATGAGGTTCAGAGTAAGAAAATAGAAATAATTGCTGGTCAGGTTGACTTGCAAAATCATTTCTCAAACAATCACCATATTCCTAGCCCAGAAATGACTTATCACAATACAAGAACAAAAACTTCAAATTGGAAGAGATTTACCATCAAGTTAAGAGATCAATTTTATATTTTACATCATGGGAAGAGCTCTGAAGGATTCTATAACCAAAGTTGGGAAAGAGACATACAGATTTTTTGATTGCAATGATGAAGCTCCCTTGATTTTTGTGTTGTTGAGAAGTGCATGCAAGTGGAGCAGACAGAAACCTTACCCTTGCAAGTCAAAAGATCACCTTTCACATCACGTCCATCAAAAGTTCACACCTCAAAACCCCGCTTTCACTTCACACACATTTGAGCAGAAAGTGGCAATAATCTTCAAACAAAGCACCTCTTTGTCACACACCCCCATAGAAGCATCCCAGGCTCCTGTCTTATGTTTGTTCTTTCCATAAGCAAACCAAATATTTCTTGCCCCTATCTGCACTAGGGGGGGCTGAAATCATTACTGTAATGGACAGAAACTCTTTGTCTCACAGAAAAGCAAAGAATGAGAGCCTTTTTGACCAGGAGATCCTTGGCTCTGAGGCCAAAAACCAAAAATCAGGTGTAAGTCTCATCCTGAGACATTGCATGGGGCTTGTTTAAGTGACAGCTGACCAGCATCAAAGGAAATTTGTAAGGTAATCTT